TGAAGTCCCTCGGCCCTTAAAGGGGAAAGGTTGCCTACCCCCGTTTTATATAATTCTAACTTTTTTGTTTTGTTGCTGCTGCTGTTTGTGCCCTCAATTTCCAACTTACGGCGCCCCTATCCTGGAGTTTTCTTGGCAAAATTTCTTCAAAGGAAGTTTGCCGTGCCCTGCCTCTGAGGCTGAGAGAGTGTGACTTGCCCAAGGTCACCCAGTGGGTTTCACGGCCAAGCAAAGGGGATTCGAACCCTGGTCTCCAGAGTTGTAGTCCAATGTTCAAACCACTATGCCATGCTGGAACTCTTGAATTCACACCTCGTGTTTTAATTCATGTTCTCAGCCACGCCGGGTCCCATTTGAGAGAAAGGGGGAGAAATATAAGTTTTAAAACACACAAACTTAAGATAAAATACCCATTTTCCCCCCAAAATGGGTGTGGAGGGGAAGGTTTTGACTTGGGGTCACCCCCAGCCCCTCTGCAATTTTGGGTTGGTATCTCTGGTCATCTTTTGCAGGCCCCAAAAGATTTTTAAAAGGAAGGAAAGAGGGAGAGAAGGAAGAAGGAAAAAAGCCTCCCCAGGACCCCCTTGAAGTGACCCACCTTTTCCTGCAAGGATTCTGACCCCTTTTTATACTGTTTTCTTAAATTATTTTAAATGTTTTAAATTTTATTGTAATTTTTTGGTGTTTTGTTTTTAATGTTTTTTATCTGTCCCTAATGGGAGAAAGGCTGCATACAAATGAAATAAATACATTTATTAGTACTAATACGGTAATAATTATATTGTATGAATACATAATACATACAATAAATATATTTTATATATGCAGTGAAGTATATATGTATATTGCAGAAAAATATATATGTTTTTGTATTATTACTACTACTACTACTATTAAAGCCATTCCAGGCAAGGTCTCAGTATAAGTCAGAGTCAGTAAATAATAACAATACATAACATACATAATACATGTAATTTTACATAAATAAATAATACTGTATATTTTACTATATTTATTGCTATTATTGTTATTATATTTTTATTGTTATTATAAAAAAGCTATTCCGAGCCAGGCCTCAGTATAAACCAAAATGTAATAATAATGGTATATAAAATACATAATATATGCAGCAATAAATAAATAATAAAAAACATATAGTAAAATATATATTATTATTATTATTATTAAGAAGCCATTCAGGGGCAAGCCTCAGTATAAGCAGAAGAGTAATAGCAATAACATATAAATTGCATAGTATATGTAATAATAAAAATAATAAGAAATATATGTGTATTATATTATTATTGCTACTACTGTTTTTAATTTATAAAAAGGCACTCCAGGCCAGGCCTCAGGATAAGCTAAGAAGTAATAAAAATAAAATATAAATTATGTAATATATGTAATAGTAAAAATAATAAGTAAGCTATTATATACTATCATGTGCATATTATTATTATTATTGTTTGCTATTATTATTATTATTATTATTAAATTATAAAAAGCCACCGCAGGCCAGGCCTCAGGATAAGCTAAAAAGTAATAATAATAATAATACATAAACTACATAATAGATGCAAAACTTTAAAATAAGAAATATATAATAGCATACATGCTATAATAAAGTTTTTTTCTAAATAAAATTTTAGAAATAAAGCTTCTTCTTCTTCTTCTTCTTCTTCTTATTATTATGTTAAATTATTATTGTTGCTGTGGATTTGTTGTTGCTGTTGTTAGTTTATAAAGAGCCACTCCAGGCCAGGCCTCAGGATAAGCCAGAGACACAAAATGGCGAGAGGAGAGCTCCCCTGAGCATGTGCAGAGTGCATTCCACAGGCGGCCCAGCCTCTCCTCCTCGTCCTCCGGCTGGAGAGGAGACCCTTCCGCCGAGGGTTCCCACAATCCCTCCCTCCTGAGGTAGGCCCAGCGAGGGCTTCGTCCCTTCCTTACCGGGGGCCTGGAGGTAGAGCGAGGCGAAGGCGGCCAGGTAGGCGGCGGAGAGGCCGCCCAGGAAGAGCTGCCGAGCCAAGCGCGGAGGATCCCCGGCGGAGGAGGAGGAAGAAGAGGCGGCGCCGGAGGCCCCCATGGCCGAGAGGAGCCCTCAGGCGGAAACGCTGCTGCTGCTGGCGCTGCTGCTACTGAGCCCCGCTCGCTAGAA